TCCTACATGGAAGGAAATTGGAATATGGAGGCTATTTGATGGATCTGTTATAACTTTACTTGTCAATCATATTATTTTAATTGTAATTTTCTTTCTGTTATGAATATATATATTGTATTAAAAGAGTAAGGAAAAGGAAAAATGTGTAAAATAATACGTTATTCTAAATATTTTAGAACGATATGTTATGTATTAAATTCACAAGATATTCTTTTCTTTACTTTTATTTTTATTAAATAAATATATAGATATTGGTAATGATATAATTGCAAAAATATTATAAAAAATTATAATTTTTATTGTATAAATTGGGTATTAGAATTAGGCATTACATTAATGGTATCAGAGCAACGTTCCATGTGTAACTTGGGGTAATGTGCTAACCGTGTTTCTATTATTATAAACTGATCTATAAAATTACAGATGGCAGGAAGAAGGAATACCAAACTAATAGAGGCTGTACAAGCTATTTACGTTCTTGTTTTTAGAAATTACTATGCAGCATAGTAAATTACTATTCATTAAAATAATAATATATTTACTATTCATAAATACATAAATACGTATATGTAAATAGTAAAATACATATATGTGAATAGTAAAATATGTATATGTAAATAAAAATATGATAAACCTTTTAATAATCTCAATAAATATTTAAAATCAAAATAACCTGTTTTATTTAATAAAATTTGGGATATTACACTTCAAGTCACTGTTTATGATTAACCATGACTCAAAATACTCTAAAACCCCTAAAACAAGCAAGGTAATTATTCGTGGAAACCATTTGCCATATGTAATGTAGGTAATGTTTCTTTGATGCTATTCTTTTTTTTCCTTTTCAATTTTGTGTGCTATTTGTTGTTGTTTCTTATTAATAATCCAATTTCGTTTTATTTTTTTTAGTACAACACAGAATTGATTATTGTGTGGTTAGGGCATAGGTCCATGACGGTCATTGGAGGGTTTGTTGTTTCACTCCTCTGCTTTTCCGAGTAAGTCATGACATTTGTGTTTCATGTTGTTTTATTTTCTTATGTACGAGTTAGTGGGTTTGGAAACTAGATCTTGCTAATGAATTAATATTTAGGAATTTTTGTTTTGGAAATCAGAGCTGGTACCTAGAGGTGTCAAAGTTAATGGCAAAGCATGAGCCTCTTCAAAGGACCAAAAGGTGAATAGATTAATTCCATGCATGCAATAAGAATAAGTTGTTTCTTTTATAAAATGTTTCATATTTGATCCGATTGACTCAATCAAATTATTTGAAAAGGCTACTCTTTTATGGATAATTTATTTTTATTTGTTTCTCACAGAGTGTTCTTCTTAATCAACCTCTTGGAACTAGGAAGACATTATTAGCAAAAATAAATTCCCAGCAATATAAATGCTAATTTCTTGCAGGTTCTAATATGTTACTTGTGTACCAAGTGCCTGATAGGTCTTTTGATTAAAAAAATGTATTTTTTTTTATTTTATTTTTGGTTATATCTAGTGCTAGAGTCCAAAAAACGTCTTGCTTAAACCACAAGAATAATTAGGAACATATTAGGATATGGCTACTATCTTTAGGTATTGAGAACTTCCATAACACAAAACATGTTTTTTTTTTCTTCCCATAACTAAGTAGAAACTCTTTAAATTAATAATGTCAGGACCGGATAAATTTATTAATTTAGAGAGTTATTAATTTATCAATAAATTAATAATTATTAATTTAAAGAGTTACGTAATTATATTGTACATACCAAATAAAAAGGCAAATTAGTTTATACCTCTTAGAATTACGTTGTAGCGAGCCTTAGGACTTAACGTAAATTAGTAACTTTTGAAGTACATATGCATTGAAAATCAATACGTAATGATTTTTGAAGTACATATGCATTGGAAATCAATAATGACTTTTGAAGTACAGTAAATGTAAACAAGAGGAACAAATGTGTTCAATGTATTCTTAAGCAAGTTTGGCATATATAAATTACATGAATGTGTTAGAGTATTCAAACCATATCTCACAAGATGGCTTCTCATCTAAAAGGTGTTGCAAAATTAACTATGTCAGATCAAATACATAAGGAGTTGTGTGAGTATAAGAGAGATAATCCTGCAAGCACACAAAAAGACTTGCTTAATAGAGTGTAATATATTTTTTAAAGGAAAACAGACAACTATTGAATCATATTTCAATAGAGTGTAATATATTTTTTTTAGTTTCTATGAATTATTAATTTATAATTTTCTTGGGATCGAAAATTATAAAGAGATCTCTCGAAAAATTATTATCTTATTATTTTATCGAGCTTTTTTAATTTTTTATATTGACCCAAATCGAGACCGGACAAATTTATTATTTTAGGGAGTTTATTAATTTATTAAGTATTAATTTAAAGAGTTTTTACTGTAGCTATTAATTCCATCATTTTGTGTAGGCTTGCAAATTTTCATTAATGAGATCGATGCCATTTGTGGACAACGTTTCAAAGGGGCAAGTGTTGATTGTGAAATTCAAAGAACCCTCGTGGAGCTATTTAACCAGCAGGATGGATTTGATAAGCTTGGAAAGGTGAATTCCCTTTTTATATGTTCATTTTTTTTAACACTATTGGTTAATTAGAAAATTTACTAAACATTTACATATCTCTGTAATCTGTATCGTTTATACATATGTAATAGTTGTTATGGTTTGATGTTGTATTTCGTTCTAAATAATTTACGTGCCAAACATGATGTGTGATTCATGATCTAGCCCTTAAAGTGCAAATCATGATATGTTTATCATGATCCACCCTTACTTGTCGTACTAAACAACAAATTCTTAAAATCACCCATTTTTCCTAACATGTTCAAGAAAACTCTAAATGCACTGTATACACATTTCGACTTACAAATCATCCATACAACTGCAAATTTAATGAAAACAACCCACATACAAATCAACAAACCCAACAAAAAATAAAGTTTTAGCTCCCCTTACTTCTAGATCAAAGAAAAAAGTGGAAGGAAGAAGAACAAAATCCTAACTATTACCAAAAGCTCCACACAACACAACTGATTCTTGGCTAGGGAGCTTCAAATCACCACCATTTAGCCACTCAATCTACTCTAAAGGGAGTAAAGTTGAAAAAGAAATTATTCTCTAGAGGTTTTAGAACTTCTCTCTTTAAATTATCTAAGTTTTTCTTAAAAATGAACTTATAAAACTTAAGTTTTTTTTAAAAAAACTTATATACATTCCCTTATAGATCAAAATTGATCTTTGCTAAAAAAAAATCCTAAACAACTAAAACTTCTTAAGAATTTCTTAATTTTCATAGTTTCTAAATAATATAACAACACTCACCACAAATCACTACAACTTATAATTTAACAAAATGAACAACTATTAAATAAAACATACCGTGTTACAACTTAACCTTTTAATAAACAAAAATGTAATTAAATATGATTACATAATAAAAAAAAAGGACTACAACACAACAATTCTAAATTTTATAGGATGAAAAATAAAGGTTTTTTTATAATAAAAACTAAAATCAAAATTTAATCATTTTACAGTAGTTCTCATAAGATTGATGTTATCACATTTCATAAATAGCAATGATGGAGTAACCATATATAAGAAAATTAAATTAAAATTAAATTATGACCATAAAATTGTTCAATTACATATGCTACAGAAACAATCATGGTGTATTCATGGTGATGGATAAATTTTGGAAGGTGAACAGGGGAAAACAATTTTACTAATTGACCAATTGTTGGAATAAGAAAACATACAGTATTTTACAAAATTTCTTGTATTGGTCTAGATTGTCTATTGATTTAAATTCATAAATGGTCCAATAAAAGTACTGGTTACAATATGGCAAGGCATCCAAGCAAAAGTTGACGACTTAAATGCTATACACATAGCAAATGTTGGTCTAATGTCAACACAATGTTAGCGAGTCTCCTTAACCGTCAGAAGCAACTTCGGCTTCTTGCATTCACAATAGCAGCCAAGATGCTTTATTTATATGGAATCATTGAAGCGGACAAAACCTCAATCACCTCAATCGGCTTAACAGTATCCACTATACAAAACTGAAGGAAAATATTAGCGATTCTAATCTCCAATACCTTTGTTGTTATTGCAATAAATGAAGCTTTCTGCTTGAACATCAAAACTTTCTATACGGAAGCTCCTAGCCCTATTGCATAATACTTTCACGAATCCAGCATATCAAGATTGTTAAGACAATGAAAGTCAAAATGTATTCTATATGCCCTGTGCCATATACTGATTCAGTGAAAACAGTAAGTCACTTTTGCTTTCTCTGAAGACATTTTATTAGTAAACCAGGTCCAACAATTGTGGCAGTTAAGCTAAAACGACTTCACTAGCTATCATCTCTTGAGACGATCTTTTGAAGTTTTACTTAATTTGTTAACAAGTGCTATATATGAAGCATAATCTGTGACAAGTCCTTTCTCAAAATTAAACATGTCGACTTGACCAGAGCCTTCATGCTTTGAATGACCATCTAATAAAATGTTGTATGTAATATCATTTGGAGCCACCCCCAAATTAAGCATTGCATCTAACAGCATTTTAGCATTTTTCATCTGACCTTGCTTGCACAGTCCATTCATCAGCGCATTATACGTGACAACTCCCGGCACATGCCCATTACTTTGCATCTCCTTCAGTAACTTGAACCCCATCTTAACATCACCCTTCTTACAAAAGCAATCAACAACCATGGTGTATGTCGGATCATCCGGTCTGAAACCAGCACTCATCATATCTCTCAACATTCTCTCCGCATCATCAACTCTCCCATCTCTACAAAGCCCGGAGATAAGTGCAGTGAAAGCTACATCATCGAGCTCAATCCCCTCTTCAACCATTTTCTTTTTTAACTCCAACGCAGATTTCATATCCCCATCCTTGCAACATCCATCTATCAGTGTAGTGAAGGTGATCTTGTCAGGCTTCAAACCACTCGCACTCATCTCACTCACAAGCCGCCTCGCCTCCTTCAAATCTCCAGCCTTACAAAGCCCATGGATCAATGCATTGTAAGTAACCAAGTCAGGTCTAACGCCCTGAGCCAGCATCATCTCAAAATTCTTCAAAGCCAAATCAACCTTCCCACCTTTGCACTGGCCATCAATCAAAGTGGTGAAAGTAACACCATTGGGAACCAATCCCCTGTTGCACATCTCATCAAACACAAGACCCCCCTCATCCAACCTACCCTCCTTACACACCCCATTAATCAAAGCGCTAAAAGTGAAAACATCGGGACTAAACCCCTCACTCTCCATAACACCCTTCAACGTAAAACCCTCTTCCACACTCCCGCATCTACAGTACCCGCTGATCAAAGTGTTGAAACTAACAACCGTGGGCCTCACACCCCTCTTGGGAATTTCATCGAACACCAACCGCGCATTCCCCAAGTCACCAACTTTGCAAAACCCATGCATGAAAACGTTGAAAAAATAAACTCTTGGCGGGAACCCACGATCCAAAACCTCCAAATAAAAGGCCCAGGCCGAGGCCCAGGCCCGGGAGTGTTTACTCCCAACAGGCTTCAACCTCGTCATGTGCCGAAGCAGATTCTCGCAACCCTTAACCGGGAAAGGAAGGTTATTCTCCGTAACCAACCTGAAGCAGTGAACAGCGCCGTGTAAGAACCCGGAATCAGCGTAGACGCAGATGAGAGCGTCGAAGAGGAGGCCAACAACGGGGTGGTGGCGAGGCATGGTTCGGAGAAGGGAGGAGAAAAGGGAAGAAGCGGAGTTGGTTCCTTTGCGGGAAACGAGGAAAGAGAGAAGAGAGTGTGCCTGAGGGAGCATGCGGTGGAGGGAGAGGAAGTGGAGCATGGTGCAGTAGGAATGGAGGGTGTGGCGGAAGGGAGGGCGAGAAGCGAGGTAGTTGAAGAAGGAGAGGAGTGAGCAAGGAGAGAGGGAGAGAGGGTTCAGAGTGATGAGGTTGCTGACGTGGCGCGGCGTCAGCGATGGGAGGATGCGTCGGAGTTTGGGGTTCTGAGAGTAATCGTGGCGTTTGGTTTCGGACTCGAGAATGGCTTCGGAGATTGCGCGTAGAAGGTCGTCGTGGTCTTTGTAGGGATCGGGTGAGAGTGAGGAAAACGGAAGATGGTGAAAGTCAATGAAAGAACGAAGGGACTCAAACTCGTCACGATGACTTGTTTTCCAGAGTTTCGGTTTCAGCTTCCTGCTCATGCCCATCGCCATTACACTCTTACTCTCACACTCTCTTTCGGAGAATACATATGATACATATATGTTTCAGAAGAGAAGAGGAAAATAAAATAAAATAAAACAATTTTTTTATAAGGAATAAAATCATGTTTTGTTTTTATAAAAGTAGTTTTTAATCCGTAAAATGTTGAAATCGATGTTTTCTTTATGTGTAAATAGATATTAGATGATTAGATTTGATGTTTACATGTGTTTATTAGAGTTCGTAGTATTGTATCGACGTATAATATTTTTTCAAATTAAATAAATATTATTTATTCATGTTAAAATTAAATATTGTTAATTTTAAGTTTTATGAAAATTAAATATAAATTATACAATAATTAAAAAGGATATTCTCTTATTTTATAGAAGACAAACCAAAAATTCTAAAAATAAAACATAATTGAAGACTTAGGAATGAGACACCAAGGAAAAGGGAAGAATTAAAAAATTTTGTTTGGTTGACATAAGGAAAGAAAAAGAGAATTTTTTTTGTTTTGTTAAGTTAATAAGGAGAGAGGATATTTTAAAAAATTAATTTATCGCATAAATATGAATGTTTTTAATTGTACTAAAAATATTTTAAATTTTCTCTTCTTTCCAAATTCTTCTAATATTAGAAGAGAATTAAAATTTGATGAAGGAGATCTTTACTTCTCTTTATTCTCTTCCAACCAAATACTATGGTAGTCATATAAAAGTCTAAAAATATATTTAAAATACATATTGTATATCATATGTATTTATTTGTTTTAAGATTTGTTTGATTCAAGAAAGTAGTAAAAAATAGTTAAAAATTTTGTTTGATTAAGAGAAGAATAGAAATAAATCTTTTCTTATTTAATTCATAAGAGAAATAAAAAAAATTAAAAATCAATTTATTAATGTGTCTTGTAACTTTAAATTTAAAAAACATAAATAAAAATATTTTGAACATTGAATTAAAAATATTTTAAAATTTCTCTTAATTTTTCTAAATTCCCTGATATCAGAAAAGAGTTATAATTAGATAGAGAAGTTTTGCTTCCTTTTATTTCCCAACCTTCCTAAAAATTAAAAAAGAATATAAATATATATATATATATATATATATATATCATTTACAAACTACATTTCCGCAACTTAATTTTCTAAGACATGTGATCCAAACACCTTATCTGTCTATCTATCTATCTATCTATCTATCTATCTATCTATCTATCTATCTATCTATATATAGATATAGATATAGATATAGATATATGTATGTATGTATAAAGTTGATCTTAATTTTATTATAAAACTAAGACAACTATCTCCAACTTTTATGTTGATCACCTCAAGAGTTAATTATGTCATATACTATTTTCAAAAAATACAAAATCGTAACATTTCAAATCTAAATATGGCGATCTAACCTTTGCTCAATAATTTGACCATAACTCAAGTTTTAAACCTCTTTTTTAATTAATTCTAACGACATTTGAAAGTTAACATCCAGGACTACAATTTTTTTTTATGAAGATTACAAAACCTAATTCTGCCATTTAAGTCTACTTGAAAGGCTTACAATGTACGCATGTTGCATTTCACACACAAAATATGAGGTTCATCTTTTAACTCATATAACTCAGCCATTTCTTAACATAAGTGATTGTTGAATCTAAACTGTAGCCTCAAATTTTTACTTTCTAACCCAACAATCAAAACTTAATTTCATTAATTACATAAAGAGAAATTACATAAATACCAAGGTATATTCATACTAGAATTTTCAGAACCAGACACAACTCAATCCAAACTCTTTTCCCCTTTTCCAATCGGTAAAAATATAGATTAGGGTTCCCACAAGCAACAAATCACAAAAAAAAAATAATTAGGTTTCCCTCTTCATACAACACATACAATGTACAGGGGGGCTAACCTCACTACCCAACAATTAACCACGTCCTAGAGTGAGATAACTCACTCCCACCTTACATCAATGAATGCTTGATGAAAGATGTGGATTTCCAGGGTGTTCTCCTACGAGCTCTAGCTCTCCTTCCCTTCTTTAGAGCATATGCGTAATATGAAAAACGAAAAGTGTAAAAATAAAGAATTGTTATAACCCTTTTTTAAAAACTTCTTTTGTAAAAAATACTTTAATCATAGTTCTCTTTTCCTTTACCTCAAATATTAAAACTTATAAATAAATAATATATCAAATAAACATATTTATCCCAACCCAAATAATTATAACAAAATACAATAATTAATAATTAACTAATATATAATATATAAAATAAATATATTTCTCCCAACACCATTATAATTAAAATAAAATATATAAATAATACACAATCATAATAAAAAAATACATATTTTTCTCTAAATACCTATTATAACAAAATCATAAAAATACATATTTCTCTAAAAATATTATATAAAATAATTTTCATAAATATTTATTATTTATTTAAAATACTCATAATTATTAAAAGTCTTTAAAATATTTATATAAAACTATTTGAATAATATATTTACTATTCATAAATACATAAATACGTATATGTAAATAGTAAAATACATATATGTGAATAGTAAAATATGTATATGTAAATAAAAATATGATAAACCTTTTAATAATCTCAATAAATATTTAAAATCAAAATAACCTGTTTTATTTAATAAAATTTGGGATATTACACTTCAAGTCACTGTTTATGATTAACCATGACTCAAAATACTCTAAAACCCCTAAAACAAGATGCTAATTTCAAACCGCGTGGTACTTTATTTTATTTAAACAGCCTAACAAGACTACAAGAGTTCACCGTCAGGATAATTATGTTAAAGGTTAAATCCTAATAAATTGATCTTCGAAAATGTGGGGAGTTACAATTCGGTTCCTAAAAAATGATAAATTAAAAGAAAAAAATGATTAGAATCATTTGATAAGATTAAGTCACTTAATTTACTCAAATGTGTTAGAAGATATTTGTAGACGAATGAGTGATGACGCATTAGTTGTGATGTGTGCATATGATGTAGTATGAGTTGATTATTACTCATATGTCCTAGATGAATACCTTATTGTATGGTATGATTATGATGAATGTTGGAATCGTTTGGGTGTTTAGCTTTCAAACATGTTGATGTTTTGTTGATTGTCATATGATGTAAATCATGAGTCGTTGATTGCCTGATTTGTATGTTGGTAAGTAGTATAAATGTTTTTTTCATATACTTATATTCTTTTAAAATCTAACTTACTCTTATATGTTTTTCTTATGGTTTAAACTGTGATGATCATAAATTTTCATGAGAATAGAGTAAGGTTAGCTGGAGTGGGCTTTAGAAGTACTACTAGGCCATATATATATATATAGTTTATATAGACGTTACTTAATCGACAACTTCAAATTTTATATTCGATCCTTGTAGAATTATTGTATGTATACTTGCATAATTATTTTAGTTGTATTTATGTGTTTACATGTTATAGTGTAATATCTCATTATATTTTTGTTTATAATCCTAAGTGGTTAGTTATCTTTCCGCTATTAGTAATAGATGATTCATGAGTGTAATAACCTTTGTGGGTCATTACACATCTTATCTTATATCAACTAATTAATGAATTAAATGTTCATCTAATAGAAGAAAAAATTGCAATAAATAAATATATATATATATATATATATAAAAGGACAAAATGCATGAGATGAAAAAAAAATAACAATTCACTTACTCCAAAAGTAAATTTTAATACACTTACTACATTCTATAATGTATATTCTATATTAACTTTTAATAATTTAACCGTTAAATTAAAAATTATTAATATATATACAAAAATTTAAAAATATTTAATATTTTGTTTCATTAATTCAACTGAATAAATGGTCATAAAAATATTTTATACATTATTTAAATCTATATAATAAAAAATCATATAATTTTAATTTTTTAAAAAATTTGTAAAGTTGATCTATACATAACAACTTTTAATTTAATAGTTGGATCGTTAAAATTTGATATATAACATAAGTTATTGAATGAAATAAGTTTACCAAAACCTACTCTTGGAGAAAGTAAATCTTTTCTCTCTCTTTGTCATTACAAGAAAATTATCATATAGTAACACACACCCTATAGTGACATTATACATGTTACTAAAAATTACTTTTACCCACACAATTAACTACAATATATGTTGATATATTATTAAAAAGTGTGGGCATAGGCTATAGTGACACACAAAATATGTTAAATTTCATTCAAAATTAACACTAAAATTATGTGTAACTATATGTCAAATACACATATACCTACATATAATGTACTTATAGTGATGCTTTTTGTATGTCACTATATGTAACATTTCTCGTAGTGTGTATTGTTTTGTGCACACATGCATGTGTACGTGTGTGTGGGTGGGTAGGGGTGAGAGTTATGATCCGTTGATACCATGGTATCAAATTAATAAAATGATACATTCAATAATTGATCTAATCATTGTATTTGATTATACTATTAATTAGATCAAATATTACATATAATTTTAAAATTATTTGATATTTCATTATATTTGACTTAATTTTAACTTATAAAAAGATATTTAAAATACACATAAATATCAATTGTTAGATAATATGTGAAGAAGAGTCCAAAAACTTTTAAAATTGATATGGATAATCAAGGGTATAATATCGTCAAATGTAACAATTGAATAAATTGAATTTGGATTTGGTTGAATCAATTGAATTTAGATTTTATATTGAATGTGTTATTTCAATAATTTGACACTAATAGTATAAGTCTTAAAACTTATATCAAATCTTATACTTTTGATAAATTTTTGTATGATGCAAATTTAAATGATCACATAATTTAAACTATTTTGGGTATATTTTTTAAAATGGATATTTACACATATTTAAAATATCTTATTATACGTTAAAATAAAATAATATGATAAAATACTATAAATAATTTTAGAACCATGTGAAATTCGATATACATGATCTTAAGTATAATATCATATAATTCAATGGTTAGATCAATTAAATTTA